GTGAGAGGAAGAAAGACCTACCAGGCGGGAGACAGCAATGGGAGGCCTGTTGGTTCTGCTCATGAACAGCCTCCTCAGGACGACCCTGTTGAAGGGAGCATTGGAGCGGCGGGCCAAGAACCTGTACAACTGTTAAAGGCAAAACACCAGGAATGTCAGGATTACGGGTTTCAGACTGTTCAATAGTTAAAATGCACAAGCTACCATTTCAAACTTCACACACCTAGAAATTAATCTTACCTTGACCAGGAGCCTCAGATAGATATCCTGGCTCTTTGGCTCCTTCCTGTGCACCTTACGGTCCTTGTTGTGCCTGATGTCGACTCCCTGGAAAATTGATTAGAAGCAGATTCATATATTAATCAGGTAAGAAAAACATATAATCTTGACCAAGAACACCTCATACATCTAACCCTCAACTGTTTATCTTTAAAACAAAATATATAACACCGAAAACAAAATAGAATACATTTAAGAGGGATATTACACACTACATATCTCATACTCATCCACATAACAGCGGCCGAAACACACGTTGACACTCTGCAGCTAACCGCTAACTCTGAACGGCATAGCAAACATGCACATAGCGTCAAATAAGGAAACTTCTGATCTTACGACACATACGTTAAAGTTGGGACAAAAATAAACAGTGACCTGTGATAATATATAGCATCTTTAACCCATTGTAAATCTGACTTATTCTCAACTTGAAGGCGTAAAGCTACCACCGGTGTCGGCTCCCAAGAATATAGGCTAATGTGAATTATAAAGTCAAATCACACGAAATCTTAGCACGACTCGGACATAAAGTATGTTTATAACGTGTAAATGTTTTCATCTAAAACATCAGGTGGTTTAATTCAGAGGATGACCGCGGATAGTCTGACTATCGTGTTTTAGAAATTCCGTTAGCAGGACCTACCATCTTGGACTCAGAGCGAAAAGGGAAAAGGAAGACCCGAGGTCTCGCGATAAGCTGTGCGCTTAGATCTCAGGCGCCTGATTGGTTAGAGAGCATGCGCTTCCTGCCCCAACAGCTCGGATGATATGGGATGGCGCCCCCAGTGGTAGAAACAGAAAATGAGCATTTTTCGAGTTCACCTTTTCGCATCTTTTTGGTTTAATTTAGTTATAAGTATTTAAGCAAATTAGTACATTGAGTAAAATACTAGAAGGATTATTTTTTTATCAGGCATTTTGAAAATAAACACGGAATTTCACCCAAAAAGTAGTTTTATATCACAGAGCTTTAAAAATGAATTGTTTAGATTACATTTTGTATCAGAAATGGTTTAGCAACAGGAGCATGATTTATATTTAGCATATGAACAAATTGTTTTGGTTAGTTAAGTGGAAAATTTTACGTGACCTCATTATTAAAATTATAATAGCCTTCGTTTTTACCAGGCATTCATACCCGGTAATGTGTCTTGCGTTTTCCATGCTACATCGCTACACCATGCATTCTGCAAATGAAGCTGAGGCCACAGGGTGTCGCCAAAATGTAAAAAAGGCGACATCATATTTGAATTTTAATGTTTTATTGCTCCCTGACCTCTTTATTCCTCTCAGATCTCTGCCTGGGGGTTTTGACATTTACAGTGCCGTTTTATTACAACCCCGCTTTTCTATGCTGATCTCTCAAGTGGTTCTTGTTGTGATAATGATGTTTGATCTATGCATATTGGAGGATTAACAGCCCAAAACGGTCGCACGACTGAAAAATCGGCTCAAAATGGGCCAAAAAAAATCGCACAGTGTATGCCCAGGGAGCACCGAAGGAAGTGGTGGTGTACACCAAGTATTCATTCAAATACTATGTTTAAAAAGAAAAAAGCAACAACACCCAGAAGTCAACAGGTTATGATCTCAAACACATTCCCAGATGTTTGAGTTAGTAAGCTGCAAATTTGAGATAAGCCAAATTTATTGATGGTGAAAATTTCGTTTGTTTTGATTCAATAGCAGAAAATAAACTTTAGTATTTCATATTTTGGTAAAGTTGGAAGTGAAGTAGAACATATAATGTTATTAAATTAATAGCCATTAACATGATGAGATCATTTTATACACAGAAACACAGTTAAACCAAACTGTTTGTGTATCTGTACAATGTATTTTCCCACTTTGTTCTTTAATGTGACAAACTAAAAACTCACGTTAATCAACCAAAGTAACTTACACAGAGAAACAGACATGCTGAGCAGAATTCTATATGATGCTTTTAATTACATTCACACACCTCCCTGCAGGTGGAGGAGAGGGGCTGGGGGAGTGGAGGTGAAGAGATGAAAGCACGAAGGTTGAGGGTGTGGAGAAGGATGTATGGGGTCTGCAGGTGAGGGTCGTAACAGAGGAAGGTGGTAAAAGGAGGTCAGAGGGTCTCGTATCTATCTTGAAGTTCAGCAGCCTCCTCAATGCCCCTTTCAGCAAAAAACTTCCTAAACAATCTCCATTTACCTCTTTCCTTCTTTTCTTGCTTCTCTTTCTCTTCGACTTCCATTTGTTCTTGCTTCTCTTGCTTTTTCTGGTCTTTTGTAGTGTCTGTCTCTTGCTCACAACATTTTCTCTGCCCATGCAACTCCATCAAGTTTGTATAATTCTGCAGAAGTACTTTGTAGTTATTCTTAAGTTGCTCCAATTGTTCCTCCTCCTCTTTAGGCTCCTCTTTCATGTGTTTACACTCCTGCTGGTGTTCCAGCATTTCCTCCACACCTTTCTGACTCTGGGCCTCTTTGTCTGGCTTCACTTTTACACTTGCATCTTTTGGATTTTCCATTTCTTGCTTCTGCTCCTCCACTGTTTTAATTTCTGCTTCCAGTTGTTTGTAACGTTCTTCAAGTTCCTTGTATTTCTGCTCTGTTTCGTTTTTATACTTTACAAAAAGATCCCAGTGGATGTAGCGTTGCCTTTCTTCCAAGAGACCATTTAGACGTCTCCTCAGCATGTATGCGCTCTCGCTGAGGTCTTGGTTTGCTCTTCGGAGGGCGTTGAGCTCATTGTAAAGCGGACCACCCCAGCGAGGAGCGGCAATGTTTAGTGGATTTCTTTGGTAGTTGAACCTTTGGGTCATTGTAAAAAAAACTAACTTTTTTCTTTACCTTAAACAAAAGAAATCCTTTCTAGACACGAAATTTAACGTTCAATAAAGTCTCTTGCTGTTTGCAGTTGAAGAGCTTGTTAGGTTTTGACGGAAGACGGAAGAAAACACACTGACGAGACAAGCAAAGAAGGTTTAAACGAGGCTTTCAGCTGTTTGCCACCGCGTGTCCATGGCAACGACCTTTGACAGGGCTCAAGTTATTTTGCTCTTCAAAAACAAATAAATAACGACACACAGCACACAGTTTTGTATTTAAAATTTCGTTCCACTTTCCCTTTCCCCAAATATATTCGATAGACCCTGTGCACGAGAAAATGCTAACTTCCTGGTTTGCGACCGGATGTGGGGTTGTACATTTCCGGTAGCTTTACCTTGCGGTCAATCGCTACTGCGAAGATATACTCCAAAATCATGTCCAAAACTCGAAAACGGAAAGTTCGCGTTAAGTTACAAAGAGGAGAAGGTGGGAACACTCACAACTGTTGTGTCATAAAAAATTAAAGAGTTTAGATCGATCAGTTGTTTACATCACTCAACACAAGCAGAACTGCATTACTGCAGCAGAAGACACATCGTCCACATTCAGAAGCACATCTCTGTATAGTGACTGGTCTTATGATTTAACCAGACAAATGTTCAGCATTCAAACTACAGGTGAAGAATAGTCAAACCAGATGTTTCCCCCATAATGTCGAGATCAGTTAGTCAAGTACACACCTACACAGCACGTTAACAAACCCTGAAAAAAAGCCACACAAAAAATGAATGATTGCTGGTAACGGTTTCTATACATTAGTATTTACGAAGTGTATGTTGTGACTTACCTTAAAAATTACAGTGGTCCTTCGCTAATAACGCGGTTCACCTTTCACCTCGCTGTTTCGCAGATTTTTTAGTGCAAGTTTGCATGCTTTTTTTTTTTTACGTCACATTGTGTCCTGCGTCCTGATCGCTGCAGACGATCTCCTCCGGGACGTCTCTCCTGTACAGTACAGAATCGCTGCATCGATTGATAGCAGTGTGACTCTGAAGTGCAGTACTGTATGTCCACGAAACGTTTTGCAATGTCAAAAAATAAAATTGGCCACTTGATTTCACCTATCGCTGGTTATTTTTAGAACCTAACACCCGCGATAAAGGAGGGACAGCTGAGCAATATAACATTTGAATCCCTTTTCTCTTTTGCCCTGAGGCGGGGGAAAAATATCGACAAGTCGATGAACATCATTTACAGATATATTGGGTAAATGCCCAAGACATCTATAGAAATGTAAATCGCCGCTTGATTCATTCATTTGCTTAACTTGTTTTGGACCGTAAACAAGGCGCGAATAGGACACCGGAAACAAAGCTCCCCACAAGAGTTTCCGCACCGGAAGTAGCATATGCTAACGTGCACATAGTCGATTATCTTAAACAAAAAACGTAGTTATTGTAGCTTAAATCGTTAGATTTAAGCGGTTCATTTTAACTTTCTGAATCACTCTGCTGGTATATCGGGAGTTGCGGCCAAGGAGCTGATCTACTTAATTATTTTAGTTTGTTAAAAATTCTATTCATCTTCTGCTTGAATTTGTCTTCAGTGTTTGTAACAGTGAAGCTCCAGATTACAATGACAGCAAATCACAACAGCAGCCTGTATTCAATTGATTTATTTTTTTATTCACTACAACATTTAAGGTTTGTATAAGAGACAGGACTGAGACAGGACTCTTCCAGACACTAAACCAAGGCACAAAGCACATTTCAATTCCTTTAATTTTAAATATGTTTATATTGTCTATCCTGTAAAATAGTCAGATGTCTATTCATATGAATGTACAGAATTCACCTGCTTGCTGCTACTACTGCACATTCACCCAATGTGTGTATATATATATATATATATATAAAGTAATTACTTTATTGTTATAGCAGTAGGAATAAATAATAAGGGACGTACTCTGGATCAGTACCATGATGCAAAATCTATAAAGATTTTTTGCAAAGGATTCAGGTAAAATTAATGGCTACAGTGACCCTGAGCCATTGCTAGCTAAAGTGTAGCTTTAGCTATTATTATTATTATTTAGCTATTATTTTATTTTTTTCCTCGCATTTGGTTGCAGTATACTCTTAGTCTGTTTAAATCAAATGATTTCACCAGATCCTCTTAACCTTTTATTCACAATAGAACAAAACATGTCAAGAACTGAGACAATGTATCATGTGACGTTTAAAGAAAAATATTAGCTCATTTTGAATCTGATGGCAGAAACACATCTCAAAAAAGTTGGGATAAGTCCATATTTACTACAATGTAGCATCGCGTCTTTGTTTAACAGCAGCCTGTAAACATCTGGGAACAGACCAGCTGCTGGGGTTTATGGGTTTCTGATGTATATAAATCACTGCATTCAGATTTTACTCACAGTGTCCCAGCTTTTTTGGAATTGTGTTTTTAGTTAGTTTACTAAAGCCTTCGATGTGACGAGGAGAGTCTCAGGTTCTTTCCTGTTCATGGTGTCGCTGCTGTCTGAGGTGACACAGGAAGATTGTGAAAACCAGGGCGACACCACCCAGAAACACCGTCCGAGCCACAGGGGGGACGAATGCAAAGTTCACTGCCTGAGGTGATGGGAAAGAAGAAAAATGGATATCATGATTGTGAAAGCCTGTCATCAGTGTAGTTCTCTCAGTCTGTGTGTGCAGAGAAGAGTTGAGCAAACCTGCATTGTTGACCAAAATACTACCCCAGTCTACAGAGTGGGAGAGAGAGAGAGATTATTACAGGAGATCTGGGAACATATCGCCATCATGAAGTTTAATAAAGACAGACAATGACTTTATACGTACCTTGTAAGATGTCCAAAATTTCTGCCTCCAGTCTTCAAGTGGGTCATCTTTGTGTTCAAGTAAACTCAAACCTACAATGTAGACAGATTTTGTTTTTCAATCGGTCATTAAAAACTCACTTTTCTTTACCCAATTATTCATGGGTAGATTTGTGTTACTTGGTAATAACTATAAGGTAAACCGTTTGATTAATTCAGATGTATTGATGTAACCTAAAATGTTTGTGCAGATCAGTAGAGTATGCGAACATTTGAGATTTGTCCACATGTAATCCATAACTGAGGACAAAGCTTGTAATAATACAACAGTAATGAGCAGAAGTAGTCATGTTTAGTAATAAAAAATTGATGCCATCAGTACGGTTATATTAGTATTCTTAGAATTAGGAAGCTTTTTTAGATGAATTAAGTTTATATACAATATACAGTGATCTAATAGGTGTTTTTTCATAGGTGAAGGCTGTTATGAAAACCAGAGTAGACCAAAGAGTCCAATTAGCATGCTAACAGTAACACCTGCTGACTATGGTCTTGAAAAGGGAAAATATCCAGTTCACAGAGTGAAAATGCCTTGTTGATATCAGTGGTCTTGGAAGGATGGACAAACTGCAGGAAGGCCATAGTGACTTAAAGCATCTCTGAAGCAGCAGCAGTAGAAGAGCACACTAGGTGTCATTCCTGCCAGCTAACAACAGAAAGCTGAGGCTACAGTTCACATGGGCCACTAAAATTAGACAATACAAGGTTAGAAAATCAGTGCCTGGTCTAATGAGTCTTGAGTTCTGCTGAGACATTTGGTTAGTTGGGTCAGAATTTGGCATAAGCAACATGAAATCTTGGAAAGGATTGTGTAAACGGTTCAGGGTAGTGGTGATGTAACAATGGGATTCTTTCTTGGCACATTTTGGGCCTGTTAGTACCAACTGAGCATCATTTAAACACCACAGCCTGCCTGAGTGTTGTCCACTCTTTTATAACCACAGTGTACACATCTTCTGATCGCTGCTTCCTGGATAACACATATCACAAATCTCATATCATCTCAAACTGATTTCTTGGCCATGACAGATTACTCAAATGGCGATCTCAGACTTCCAATAAAACACCTTTGGGATGCAGTGGAATGGGAGATTCATTATGGATGAGCAGCTGAAAAATTTGCAGCATGTGTGATGGTATCATATCAATATGGACCAAAATGTCTGAGAAATGTTTCCAGCACCTTGTTGAATTGACACTATGACAATAGATACCCCAACTCACTACTGACCTGTACCCAATAAGTTGACTAGTGAATATAGCTGCCATTAATTCCGAGTGGTATGGTGCAGTTGCATGGTCAGCAGATTCATACTGACTGTGAAAAACATCCAATAAAACAGTAAAACAATGTAGATGTCTATCTGAAGCCTGACTGGTTGAACTCTGTCTTAGATTATGGGGATTTTCTTTACACAAAAAACTTATTAAAAAAAAAATAGTACCTTTCAAGATAAATATTACAAATTGTGTCACATCCAATGGGGTAAAAACATAAAGACATAAAGAAAATATAAGTTTTTAGTTTTTAAAAACTCAGAGTCTAGGAACCAGTCTTCCAAAAGCTCTGCCATCTTTAGATGTCAAACTTGTATGATGCACAGCCATCAGGTGTTGATCACAGGCTCCTGCTGGAGGTTCACAAATAGCTGTAAAAGTCAAAACTAGAATCACATACCAATGTAAAAGGCACTGATGGTGAGAGGAGCCGCAATCAGCTGGTCCACCACCACCTTCCCAGTTACTGCCTTTACTCCGCCTCCTGGCAGCATCTTCTCCAGCCCTCTGAGCCAGTGATAGTTGAAGTTGGCGTGGAAACAAAAACCGACGGTCGCCACTCGAGCCGTCTGATGCCAGTCGACTCCTACTAAATCCTCTGATGTGGATCCTGTTGCTGGTTTCTCACCCAGCACGCTCTGCTGTACGAGGTCAGCAGAGGCGAACAGGGCTGTGTATCCCAGGATGTTACTGATGTACGGGCGAGCTTTGAACACAGCCCAGACCCACTTCATAGTGAGGAATCTGATAAGAGAGAGCATTAAAGCTCGACATTTTCCTAAGTTAGGAAAGCCGTTCACTGAAGGTTGAAAAACAGTGGGTGAGGAAATTCAGCAGCATAAGGGCCAGGCTATGATTAGTGATCCCCTAAAATATCCAGACTTACCTTTCAGTGTTGCTCCTCTCACACTCTTCTGAGTCTCCCCAAAGCCAAAAAGACACAAACTACATTTCTCTGGACAAAGACGATCATCAGCAGAGGCAAATCTACATGTGACGAGATCTCACAGGGTCAAAGTTCTGCTCCTGTTGCAGGGCATGTGTGATAAAGCCTTATCATCCCCCTGGAGAGGACTGTGAGAAAGCACAACATGTGAAGCGTGAGACTTGACTGAACACACACTAACAAACTCATGCTGTAAAGCTTAAACAGCTGAATGTATGTGCATGCAGATTTGATAACGACGGTTGAATGTACTCATTGCACTCATCGTGTAATGTCACTATGTAAGCAAATCCTGGTAAGAAAATCTCTAATCTCTAACACACTATGACTTACCACGCTATTCCTTGTAACCACACCAGAGCTGTGCACCCTTGGGCCCGAAGCACATGTAGTGTCACTATAAATAGATGCCACTCCTGCAGCAGCGATTCCCTTCTCTGAGTTAACCGCTTGGCTTTGAAAAGGCGCCGAAATTGGATAGAAGCAATTTTCAAGATTTTATGGCTTCTTTTGAAGTAAGTGAATGAATTTGCACCTCTCACTTATGTGTTTTGTTTTTACTGTGAACATTCTCACAAAATCACTGACATCTTCCGAGTAGTTACTCTGTGTCCCAACAGCCAAATGAAAGCATAAATGAGACGATGCCATTGCATTAATTGCTCCTAAATTTTGCCTCTGCATATCAGGATCTCACCTGCATTGGGTGATTTTTGCTTTTACTTGTGCTGTATTAGTATATATTGAATGTTTTTGCTCGTTTAGCTCTGCAGGTCATTGGTTAAAATGTGTTTCGTTTAACATGCTTAAACACATTTTCTTGGTTTATTTAGTGAAAAGCCAAAAGATCTGCAAACTTGTCAGTACAGATTAAGAAGCTGGGTGGATATTTCACTTGAGTAATATAAAGTAAAAGTAATTTGTTAGGTACACCTCAGGAAAAGCAGGTTGGACGCCTTTTACTATCAGAATTGCTTCATTTTTTTTTATGTCAGAGATTCAACAAGGTGCTGGGAACAAACCTCACACTCAAAACTTTTGGTCCATATTGACACAACAGCATCACACAGCTGCTGCAGATTTTATCTGATTTCCCAGTGTGGGTCTCCCATTCTGCCTCACTCCAAATGTGAGGAACTGCAACTGGATTGAATTCTGGTGACTGTGGAGGCCATTGGAGTACAGTGAACTATTTATGAAAAAAAAACACAGCTTGAGATGATTTGAAATTTGTGACATGGTGTGTTGTCTATCAGAAGATTGGCACGTTGTGGTTATAAAGAGATGGACACGCCAGCAACAATGCTCAAGTAAGATGTGGTGCTTAAATTATGCTTAATTGGTACTAACTGGCCTATAGTGTGCTGAAGAAGTTCCTCACACCTTAACCCAATCACGACCATCCTAAACTGTTGATAAAAGGCTTGATGGAGCCATGCTTTCGTGTTCTTTACACCAATTCTGACTCTAAACTACAAGCCTAAAACCCCCCACTCCACTGACGACTTGCTCTTGGCCAACACCCTTAACGACTTCTACTGTCGTTTTGACGAGCCATCAGGCAGCCTTCACACCTCCAACGACCCCAACAATAGAGGCACTTTGGACACTAACTCCCCCACCTCTCCCCCCTCCATAGAGCCATCACCGCCTTCAAACTGTTCACCTGCAACACCCGCCCCCTCACCCCACACAAAAGAGGATTTCACACCACCTCCTCCGACCACAACTCTTCATATTCATGAAGCAGATGTGAGGAAGCAGTTTAGGAGTCTGAATGCTCGAAAAGCTCCCGGCCCAGACGGTGTGTCTCCTGCCACCCTCAGACACTGTGCAAACGAGCTGGCCCCAGTGTTTTCTGGCATCTTCAACTCCTCACTGCAGGCATGTCATGTGCCTGCCTGCTTCAAGTCCTCTACCATAATCCCTGTCCCCAAGAAACCTAGGATCACTGGACTAAATGACTACAGACCCGTGGCTCTGACATCTGTGGTCATGAAGTCATTTGAGCGCCTGGTTCTCTCCCATCTCAAGACCCTCACGGCCCCCCTCCTGGACCCCCTGCAGTTTGCATACAGAGCCAACAGGTCTGTAGACGACGCCATCAACATGGCCCTACACTTCATCCTGCAGCATCTGGACTCCCCAGGAACCTACGCCAGGATCCTGTTTGTGGACTTCAGCTCTGCCTTCAACACCATCCTTCCAGACCATCTCCAAGGCAAGCTTTCCCAGATGAATGTGCCTGATCCCATCTGCCGGTGGATCACTGACTTCCTGACGGACAGGAAGCAGCATGTGAGGCTGGGAAAGAATGTCTCGGACTCCCGGACCATCAGCACCGGCTCCCCTCAGGGCTGTGTTCTTTCTCCTCTGCTCTTCTCCCTGTACACCAACTGCTGCACCTCCACCCACCAGTCTGTCAAGCTAATCAAGTTCGCAGATGACACCACCGTTATTGGGCTCATCTCGGACGGGGACGAGTCTGCCTACAGGAGGGAGGTTGAACGTCTGGTGACCTGGTGCAGCCACAACAACCTGGTGCTGAATGCCCAGAAGACAGTGGAGATTATTGTGGACTTCAGGAAGCACATAGCCCCACTCCCCCCCATCATCCTGACTGACACCCCCATCACCTCTGTGGACTCATTCCGCTTCCTGGGTACCACCATCACCCAGGACCTGAAGTGGGAGCCCACCATCACCTCCGTCATCAAGAAAGCCCAGCAGAGGATGTACTTCCTGAGGCAGCTGAAGAAATTCAACCTGCCAACACGGACGATGATGCAGTTCTACACTGCAATCATCGAGTCCATCCTCACCTCCTCCATCACCGTGTGGTACGCTGGAGCCACTATCAGGGACAAACAGAGACTGCAGCGTGTTGTGCGCTCTGCTGAGAAGGTGATTGGCTGCAGACTCCCATCTCTGCAGGACCTGTACACCTCCAGGACACTGCGGCGTGCAGCTCGGATCTCAGCTGACCCTTCTCACCCTGGACACAGTCTGTTTGACCTGCTCCCCTCAGGCAGGAGGCTCCGGTCCATTCGCACCAGAACCTCTCGCCATAAGAACAGTTTCTTCCCCTCTGCTGTTGGACACATGAACAATAACCATATGACTGTCCCCGCCACTAACACATGACCCTACGCTGTGTCACTGCATCATTCCATGTTTGCACTGATCACCACCTGCACTCATGTATATATCTTTCTACGTAGCACTCATAATTCTTATTCTCATGTATATATCTCATGTATATCTCATGCACATATCTTTCTTTCTACATAGCACTTTAATTCTTATTGTTTGCACTGAAGCACCGCAGCAATTTCCTAATGTTGTAAACCTCAACATCTGGCAATAAACCCCATTCTGATTCTGATTCTGATTCTGATTCTGATTCTGATTCTGATTCTAAAAAAGAAATTCATTTCTGAGAATGAATGTGGCAGTTTTTTGGCTAGAAGGGAAATAAGTTGACAACTTTTTACCAAGTTACTTTTAGGTAAAATATACCAAAAAGTAACTTGACTGTCTGTGTCAAATGTAGACAGACAAACTCCTACTCCTTATTTGAATTTTTGTTGTGTGTTGTATTGGATTTGCATGTTGCGCTCACATCTAGAAAATTAACAATAACGGTGAGCTGCAAAGAAGAGAAAAGTTAATAATCGTAACCTTAAAATCACTTTGTAAAGTTAAATGTATTTTCACATCTGTGTAAAATAAATAAATAAAATAAAGCCTAGCCACACACCTGCTGCCATAGATATGCAAAATGTTGAACTTGGAAGGTGTCCTTTTGAATTGTAAAGGTCAATTAAAAGCAGCTAGCAACCATCCTAGATCTTCCCACTGAGAATGTGATAATTAGGGCCAGAGTTTAAACTGGTCAATTAAGTGCTTGTTAACCCTGAACTCAAGCGTTAGTGTCTCGCAGTATTTAACAAGCTGCTTTCAGAAAGCCACACAATGGAGGCGTGTGCCCACACTTCTACAAGTGGTTGACTTCTCAGATAATTGCCCTTTTCTTTTCAGACCCTCTCATCATGTCTCACTTCCTCTCCCGTTATCAATTTGTCAAAGCAGATTCCTTTAAGACTGCCTGGGAAAAATGCATTTGCATTGACCGCTGATGTCACTCAGCTTAATTTGTGCACACATCAGTCCACAATACATGCACACACATGCATTAACAGCTGAATTACTGCAGCACGCCTCCTCAGCCTCCAGTGCAGTTTGTAGAGAGATACACAGAAACCTGGAGACAAAACGGTAAGCAGGCTTTTGCAGTTATTTTTATATATTTTTATATAATTATAAGTTATGTAGATCTGCTGTTTCCACAGTACAACACATTAGCTGTAACAGCGTTTTTGACATTTTGTTGTGATGTTATAATAAATATGAGTTACAGCCTTTACAAACAGGTTTATATAAACACTTATTGCTTAATCGGTGATTTTTGCCTGCAGTTTGTCTTTTCTCATCATTTAATCATTTAATTTTTTTAATAATCATTCATCCTGATCACTTCCTATATGTTCATCTTATGAGAATTGGGGCTTGATTTCTTTATAGTGATTTCCTAGTTGGTGGAAATTGACTATGTACACTTTTGGGTACTTTACTTGTACTAAACATAAATTCACAGCGAAGTGTTGAACTTTTAACTCCCCTTCTATTGCTTTACAGATGCACTGCAATTAGTCTGACGGCACATTTCTTTGTTTTTTGCGTTATAGTTGGGGTTAAAATTTGTGGCAGCCAGGCTTTTAGACTTTTGACTTTTTAAGGCATGGCTCAGGCAGTAGGGTGTGTTGTCTACCAATCAGAAAGTCGGTTTAACGATCCCCAGCTATTCCAGTGTACATGTCAAAGTATCCTTGAGCAAGACGCTGAGTGTAAATGTTAGAAAACACAAAGGCAGAGATAAAAGTGCTGTATGAATGTGTGTGTATGTGTTAGTTGGGTAAATAAGACTATAATGGATAAGTCATATAATCTTAATAAAAAAATCCTAAAATTGAGTAGAAAGGTGCAAGTACCAGACCATTTACTCCTCATGTCACAGTTCCTCAGAACAGTAATATTAATTTTGCGAAATAATAAGATAATTTTTTTCCTGTGCAGAATAAATACTTTTAGATATAGTGAAGGCAGATTATATTTTATTTAAGTACAAGAGAAATTTACTCCTTCTGTCATTGTTTCTCGTCTGTCAGGAAATGCAGGATTCAGTTCAAGATTACTCTGATTACTTTCAGAGCTCTGCCTGCCTTACGGGTATACAGCACCTTTATGGTTAGCACCTGTCTGAGCTCCTCTGATCAGGATCTGTTCTGCTCTCCATCCTTTAAACTCAAGAAGACTCTGCTGGAGCATTTAAGTTATATAAATGGACGTTTATTCCACTTTAAGTCAGTGACTCCTGACTCTCCTAAATCTCCACTAAATGTATGTTTCTCAGGCATGCGACCGTCTATCTCTGCGAGTCTTGAGCCTGGGTTGGAGCGAGGGGTCCCCTGGGGTCGTGACCTGTACACCTTTGTAACTTCAGCAGCAGGTCACATGATGAGGACCCTGCAGAAACCCAAGAAGAACCGACCATCCAAGCGGCAGGTCAACCACCGTCGCTTCCTGCACAACATGATTCAGAGGTGTGTTTGACCATCAGTGAAACACTTGCAGTAAAATGTAGAACAGCTTTTTCCTGCCAGTGAAACTGAGCGTAAGAAAATGCGAGCTCCCAGATGATGAGAGGGGGAAAAATACAAAAAACATTGTTATGTAGCATTCAGTGTGTTGCGTGGTTTTCACATGAATGTGTACTTATTACTCCTTAAATCCCCTAAAATGATAAAAAAAAAAAAATAAGGATGGAGGGTAGATAACATTTAATTTTTAAAGGAATAGTTTTTTGAAAATACACACTGAAGGTTAGGAGAGTAATTTGATAAAAATCTAACATATGTGACTTCAAAAAACAAGCTGGCAGGGAAGGTTCTCACAACACTGGCAAAAGTTGACTTCTTTCTAAAAATGTTTTTAAGAAAACCTTTGAAGGATTTTTATCATTTCAAACCGGATAAGATTCATAGTTTAACTTACACATACATGCTAACAGTGAAAAACCATTCTCAGTTTAATATCCTAGAAATGTTTCTAGATTTTATTGAGGCCTGAGATTAGAGAATAATTTGTTTGAAACGGTAGAAAGATTGGCCTGCATGATTCTGAGCTGTTGATGGCGTTACTCAAGAGTATCATCCATCCAGCTTCATCCTTAGTTCAGGCATCGTGGGGAGACTAGAGCCTATTCCACCTGTCACAGCGCAAACACTGGACAGGTCGCCTGTCTATCATGAAGCTAACACTTCACACTCAATTTAGGATCACAAATTAACCTAACTTGCATTTCTTTGGACTGTGGGAGGAATTTGGTGAAAACCTGGACAGAGAGAACATAGAAAGGCCCCACCTGGCCGGTGGGTTTGAACCAGTAGGCAACAATCCTGACTGCTGCACCAACATGCTGCCCATGTAAGGCCATGTCCATACTAATATGTTTTTGTTTGAAAACACATCTTTTTCTCTCGGTTTTGGCCTTCCATCTACGCTGTGACGGTGTTTTCAGTCAAGGAAAATGCAGCGTTTTGAAAACACTCTCCAAGGCAGATACATATGAAAATGCAGTTTTCGCATCGCAGTGTGGACAGCAAACCCGGAGCCTTTTCGAAAACGATGACACATTTTAGTCATGTGACCAATTAAAGTAAGATAGCGGAGGGCATTATACAGCAGTTAATGCTCTATGTTGGTACAGGGCATTGAAGATGATAACAGTGGGTGGATTATATTCTTAAACTTAGTTACAGCGCTTTCAGAAAGACATCTACATTATTACATTACATTACATTATTAATGATTAATTAATTAATTACATTATTATTTAAAAAAAAAGGGCAGGGATAGCTCAGTAGGTAGAGTGGTTGCCCCATGATCGGAGGGTCGGGGGTTCGACTCCATTGAACAGCTACCCTGAGGTACCCCTGAGCAAGGTACCTACACACTGCTCCCCGGGCGCTGCATTGGTGGCTGCCCACTGCTTCAATGGGTGAATGGGTTAAATGCAGAGGAGTAATTTCCCTATGGGGACTAACACATACACATTATTATCTACTGTGATAAAGTCTGCTCTCCATATTGACAAAATATTAATGAGGTCATTTACAGCTGTAACATGAATAAAATGGCTGAATTGCCACCTGAGCATGCAGTTACGTTCCATAGAGTTTTGATAATGATCTACAATTTTGTCCAGGTGTGTTGCAGCAGGGATACATAGAAAAATTTCAAGACACCGGCCTTTAAGTTTGACACCTGTGCCTTAGAGGATCCTTAACTTAAAAAGTCTTTTTAACCTAAGAACAAAAAATGGCAGCTTTCCCAAAACTGCTGTAAAAATACTATGTAATAATATTTTTTTCCACTTTAAATCACTTATTCTTTTAAAAATACTTCAGCCTGAGCTGTAAATATTGAATATTAATTATAGATTGGGGATTTTATGCTTTTGAAGGCCAGTATGTTTACATAACTCCATTGATTTTTAGTAAAATGGCAATTGGCCTGTATTTGTATAGCGCTTTACTTGGTCCCTAAGGACCCCAAAGTGCTTTACACTACATTCAATCATTCACCCATTCACACACACATTCACACACTGGTGATGGCAAGCTACATTGTAGCCACAGCTGCACTGACAGAGGCGAGGCTGCCGGACACTGGCGCCACCGGGCCCTCTGACCACCACCAGTAAGCAAACATGGGGTTAGTATCTTTGATCATTGTTTTTATTAGGCCCTGAGATGGGCCAACGATTAGCAGCGACATTCATTTTCATGCATTTCTATTTTTTCTACAGTGTCAGATTTTTTTTTAAGGTCCTAACAACAAAAAATGCCACCTTCCCAAAAACTATTATATAGTAATATTTTCTTTCTACTTTACATGACACAGTCTTTTAAAATTACTTCAGCCTGAATTATAAATATGAAATATTAATGACAGTATTTTGGATTTTAACCCTTTAAAGAAGAATTTAAAAAAATCCACTGGCAAATTGTTTAGCAGAGCCAAAATAGCATGAAATAGTTTTCCACTGTTGTCCCAATTCATTGTTTCATTCACTTTTCTTCTTATCAACAGAAAATTTGCAGATATTGAAGCAGCAAACCAGCGGTTGGCATATGCTCTTTATTTTAAGGATGAGGACAAAGGCATGTCCTCTCTGTCATCACACAAGCCAGATTCACCTGACCAGTCAGGTAATCCATCTCAAAGTGGTGGTCCACAGGATGCCGATAAAAACAGCCTTCAAACAGGTGTAGATGGTGCCTCAAAGTCTATCAGTGTTTCCTCAAATCAAGTAAATACAAAAAGGAAGCAGGCTGAATCAGGGCATCTTTGGAAACATCACTCCATATCGCAGTCCTCCACCTGCAGAGCTACAGCGAACAAACACAGCAAGAGGAGGCAGGAAAAGGGAAGCAGAGGTCATAAACCGGTGGAAATTAAACCTATTAGCTCCCCAAGAAGTTCTGACTTGTTCCACGGGGCGGAGCTATTTTATTTTAACAACGAGAGTCAGTCGAAGCCAGCCGACAACCACCAAGAAGACACAGAGTCAACTACAAATGACTTCATTCAGCTTGGCCAAAATGTGGACATCTCCCCCTCCTTCTCCCCAGAGTTATCTCCATTGTCTCTTGACTCTTGTGATTTCTCCGTTCAAGTGTTCACAGACCTCGCAGGCTGCGCGCAGGCTCAGAAGAGCTACTTCGACTTCTCTGAGGGTCAGCTGACTGACATAATGGAGCCATTTTCCATTGACAATAAGGACTTAGGGGACTGCGCTGACATAGAGGCATATTTTGAAAGCATTTGTGCATGCCATGGTGATGATGATGATATATTTGGAGACCAGTCACATAACTTTACCGAAGTGGATGATCTCCACTGTGAAGGTGAGTGTAGGTATGAATATGCATATGCAGACCAGGGAGTGACCTCAGACCACTTCCAGGGTAACCACAGGAGCTCAGTGACCCTGAGACAAAGTGCATACACAGAAGAGGAACAATTTAACACCTTTAAACTCTGTCAAAGCACAGACATCAACCAGAAGCAGATCCCCTCCTCAGTCAGCTACCACCACTACAACATCGCACAGCTTCAGGCGTACCAGTGTTCTCAGGAGGAGAGCACCTGTATGCAAGTTAACTGTGAAAATAACCTACAGTTTACACCATTTGAAGGAGTTGCTCAGTCCTTCACTGTTCCACTTAACAACGCTGAGCTCCGCCCCATACCAACACCACCTCAGGAAGACAACTGGCTGTTTACTGATATCCTGAAGGACAGAAAGTCACCTAGTTACTAGGAACACATGCCTCATGTTCTTAAAGAGAATCAGACTCAACTGGTCTCATACTTGAGAAGACAAATTCTCAATGACTTCTTGTTTTTACTTTTGTTTAAAGACATTACAAATTTTTGGGGAACATATTTAAAATGCTGTCCTTTTTGTTTTTTGATGTTTTGCCTTTACAGAACAATTGCCAGCTAACTACAAATACAGAAGTTCTGGGAATTATGCAATCAAGCCAAACAGGTTCAGAGTAAAACTAAAGAAATTCACTCCGTGAATGTACAGTCAATGGCCACTTTATCAGGTATAGGGTTGGATCACTTTTACCTTCAGATCTCATTCATCATGACATGGAAACCTAATCTGATGGATTGCATAACAGCGGACAAACTCCAATCAAAGCTGGTCTGATATAAATCTGAGAATTTATTTATATTATTATGTATGTAAATTTATCCTTAAAAACTGGGAATTATGAGGAATGAAGAAACAGTATTTGTGACAGCTAGAGTAAAAAACTAATATAGAGCTGTGTACTTCAATTCTTCTGTCAATTACTCTGTTAAGAAATCTTACATTTATAAATACGTTCAAGATGTTTTTTTTAACTTTTGAAAACATCTTTCAGACGGTGTCCTTACCAAGTTCTAAGTTTTATACTTCTAATTTGTGAATGCACCAGCTTTTAGATCAAAAACATCTGTAGGTGCTGTTCATATTACCTCATTATTTATTTATTTTTAGCATTTATTAGCAAGAAAGATCTGAACTATTTATTCTATTCTATTCTTTATTTTGTAATTATACAGTACTTACCTGAGAGGTCAGTCCAAATCAATCTGTTCAAGAACTGTTTTGCAGTATTTATATAGATACTGTAAATAACTAGTCTAGGATCTTCCTTGTATACCAAAGTTTAAACATGCTTGATTAGCTTTGTGAATTTTTATGTCCAAAATGTTTATGAGGTGTTTTGTTAAAAAGCATGCTGGCATCACAAGTTCTTTTTGAAAAGGAGTTTGTGCATTTGCCATAATGTGACATACAGATGATCTACAATTTTTTTTATACCACCTTAATTAATTATTAATTTACCAAGCAACCATGATCAGATTTAACGTTTTCTTGAATAATCAAGATTGTAGGCCAGGACTTCACACTGGATGAAAAAAAAAATTGTTATTTAGAAAATGTTGCCACATTTTTTGACAGATTAGGCATTTGTACTGTCTACACTGAAAAAAATAACCTGCTGGATTAACATTAAAAAATATGTACATCGCTCTGTCAACTTTAGTGTTTTATGTTATAACTGCACACATTATTTATTTATTATTATTTCTGCGTCCGTCTGAGTCTCCGCAGCTGGGGCAGTCGCAGGTGGCCTTCGGGCACTGCCTTCGTCGCCCCACACGCAGACTGCCCGGGGTGCCCGGTGCGACGTGTGGTGCCTGCCTGGGAACCACATCGCCGAATCCCCGTCTGACAGGTGGGCGTGGGAAATGTGGCGTATGGAAGACAGCTTTGCCCATTGCCGATCGGGGGCCCAAGTCCTTCTGATCGAGGCCCCACCCCACGGAAGGTGTGAGGCCGGAGGCAGCCCCTATCACGCCGGGGTTCGGTCTTCTCGGAGTCGGGTTGTTTGGGAATGCATATATATATATACATATATACATATATATGTAATTTATATATATGTGTGTGTGTGTGTATATATACATATGTGTATATATGTGTGGGTCCAGATAATGAAAGACATTCAAGAGCATAAAATACATAAAATCACCTGAATCACCTGAGTCAAGAGCAAAGCGCAGATCCATGTCAGACAATAGTACACTGCTGTCTATACTTCATTCATAAAAAACAAATCTACAAATTCCCAGATATGAAGGATGAAGAGGACAACAAGCTGATCTGAAAAATCGCTGCTTAATGGGGACTAAATGGCCTGGTAAATGGCCTGCATTTGAAGACCCCAAAGCGCTTTACACTACATTCAGTCATCTACCCATTCACACACACACATTCACACACTGGTGATGGCAAGCTACATTGTAGCCACAGCTGCCCTGGGGCGCACTGACAGAGGCGAGGCCACTGCCGGACACTGGCGCCACCGGGCCCTCTGACCACCACTAGTAGGGAAACATGGGGTTAGTGTCTTGCCCAAGGATATTTGGCATGCAGCCAGGAGGCAGCCTGGGATCGAACCACCAACCTTTTGATTAGTGGCCTGCTCTGCCACCTGAGCTACAGCTACCCTGGGCTCTCCCAGCACATCAAAAGACTGGGCAGGTTGAACTAAAGTGTTGATCAAGGAGGGAGGGGTCCAGCTGGACCAGGAGGCCACCGGGACCAGATAATGAAAAAACAGATCATGAAAAAAATTCAAGAGCATAAAATGACCTGAATGCAGGGGTGAACCGCAGATCCATGCCAGGCAAAACACAGCCCAGCGCCTGCTCCAGCACGCTAACACAAAGAGCTAACGCAGAGCATGGCAACAGCAAACCCAAGTGACATTACACAGATTAAACAGTAAACATAAGTCTGTAAGTACTATGTAAGGTAAACGTTATACTTTATTGGGTCAACCGACAGTGTTGGGAAGGTTACTTTTAAAATGTATTCCATTACAGAATATGCCACAAAATGTATTCTGTAACGTATTCCGTTACGTTACTCAATGACAGTAACGTATTCTGAATACTTTGGATTACTTAATATATTATCATGCTTTTTACAACAACGTGAATGTACTATTGCTGTGTGATTTATTACTATTACTGAAGGTCCGCGACTCCGAACTGTAGTAAAGGGACCTCTGACTAATACGGCGGGGTCCCTGTCGGCTCGTAGCCGAAAAATAGCTTTACTTTGTTGTGTGGGTCAACTTTTCTTGCGAGAGACAGAGAGAGGCGTTGAAAGGCTGCTCCAACGGAACTTATTGTTTTCGGAGGAAAACACGAACACGGTGTACAGTCGAGTCTTAATAGCTTACTTACAACTGGGCTCGTCAGGCACTCTTCTTGGCTGCAGTGGTTATTATTATATTTACATGCTTCCAGCTCCCGTTTTTCCTCGATGACAACTCGTACCTTTCCACTCCCCTTTTTCTCCCTCCTCGCTCACAGACCCATAACGTGTATGGCAGTCCATTCTCCCTGCAACACGGACTACACTGCCCATGATGCTACATTCTTTAGAGCTATGCTTGTAGCATTCTGCCTGTTAGCTTAGCACAACAACAACAACAACGAAAAGGCGCTCTCTCACCCAGGAAACACACAGTCGCAGAGAGAGAGAGAGCGTCGCCCTGTAACCATGGCAACCGTAACGCTGCCGCCTGGAACAACAGAACGTAGCTGTCAAACAAAACCCAAACAGTCCTGACCCGCGACAATATGAAACAGGAAAGTACCGCAGTGTAATCCATTTATTTCAACAAAGTAACTGTATTCTGAATACCACCTTTTTAAACGGTAACTGTAACGGAATACAGTTACTCATATTTTGTATTTTAAATACGTAACGGCGGTACATGTATTCCGTTACTCCCCAACACTGTCAACCGACAAACTGCTCTTGGTTGACCATGTTAACTGTTTAACAATCACTAGCTAAACAGTCAATTTGGCATTTTGGCATAAAAAAAAAACACATTTTCAAATTCCACATTAAAAAATTTTTTTCACATTTTTTTCTTAGAAATGTCTGCATTTGTGAATAAATTTTTCCCAGTAACAAGACAGTATAATGTACTGTATAAATGTGAAGGAATTTTCCATATTTCCATGTCCTTAAATCTCATTTCCTACAGCTTGACCCCCTCCCTCTTTGATCAAAACATTTTGGTGGGTGTCATGGGGGTGAGTAAGGGGTAGGTGGGGTGCGGTTGGGGCAAGATGGGGTGTGAAAGATGATTGGGGTGAGGGTCTTGACCCCCTCTCCTGTATTGTTAAATCCCCTTTTCCCCCCATTTTTGAAAAAACATTTTCAAATTCCACATACAAAAAATATTTTCACTTTTTTTTTTTTTAGAAATGTTTTAAGTGTTGCTTGTTTTATTTTTACCTCAATCAGTGGCAGCAACAAGAAACCGCTCAGCATGATTTATTTTTAATCAACATGTGTAGTGTTGTTGAATTTTTTCCCGTGACCTTTACTGACTGATGCTTGTTCGTAATCATGTTTTTTAACTTTTTATTTAGAAAGAACTGAAGGTTTTCAGGCAAAGTTACACTTACACGAGTTTAAGCCTCATAGCTGATGCTAATAAATGCTAATGTTAGCCTCTGATTTAGGCTGCTAAAGTAAAGACTTTTACCCTAGCTGACAAACATAGATTAACTTGGTGGTTAATAGACTATAGTGGTAATACTATTGAAAGTTTAGTTTCATCTCAGCACATTTCTAATTATGTCCATTTTATAGCACATAGAAATGTTTAGTGAAATATTGACAGACAGACACATTCCCGCTGTAACTGTGTTTTTCCTTCAATATTTATTGAAAATATAATTTATGAAATGCTGAGCAGCATTTTTAGTATGTACACTTAAATAAATCAAAATGATCAGTAGTATACTACTATTCACAACAAGTAGGTGAAATCACAGTTCAATTAGTATTCATGATGGTTTTTTCTTCACAGCAGAGTATATTTTTGTGACCCTGTTGTTCTAATTTGTGATTAAATAATAATACTTATAACTAACTAAATAATAAATAAATAAATAAATGAATGAATAATAACTTTATCTTGATTGAAGTATAAGCGCAGTGCTGGTGTGCAGGGGTTTTACATGCCTTGTGGGGGATGCTGACATATTATAAATCGTAATATCTATATCAAGCTTTTAGCCTAATAAGCAGATATTTTGTCTCTTTCTTAAAAAATTCAGATCCTTAGAGATTATTTGAGAAATGGATCAACAGCTATCATTAATTGAAGCACTCTTGAATCAATGATAGCTCTTCAACTCTTCAACACTGCAGAGGAAAAATATAACTTATTTCGAATGTGATCACACTAGGGCTGCCACAAACCATTATTTTGATAGTATTTTTTTGTTTCCTGTTCTCATGCTGTCCTCCTATAGCCCAGCATGAGTAGAGGTCTCTTTTTTCCTCTTGTACTTTCCCATTGTAGTGTACATTTCAGTGTTTTTCTGTAATGCAACCGTTCTCTGACTTGTATTCCCATGTGATGTCTGTGTTGTGTGTGTAAGGTCGGGGGGCGGGTTCATTCCACTGCAGGGCAACCTGTCACTGCATGTGGCGAATAAAATTTGAACTTGAACTTGAAAAAGTAGAATTGGGTTGAAAGATCTATCGCTTTATCACCTATTCAGGTTGTATATTCGTGTTTTTAAAAATTAACTAAGTAACTAAGTAATTAATTACTTTTGAAAATAAGTAATCAGTAAAGTAACGGGATTACTTTTTGGGGAAGTAATCAGTAATTAGTTACTGATTACTTTTTTCAAGTAACTTGGCTAACGCTGGTGCTAACTAAAAATAAAGACAAGATGATAGTTTATTAAATTTTAATGAAATTTGCAGATTGTTTTGATGGAGTTCATAACCCTTGCTATTTAAAATATAACAGGACACCGGAGTATATTCTCGAGCATCTCACACTTCTGATAATCAGTTGTCTGCTTGACGTTTATTCAGCTGTGTAAAAACTATAACTTTAATCTCAGCCAAACCGATTTACTCAGGAACAAATAAAATATACTCTCGCTGGCCTGGGAGCCTTGGATTCGGAAAGCTGGAGGAGGCTGGCTGGGGAGAGGGAGTCTGGACCTCTTTGCTTAGGCTGCTACCCCCGCGACCCGACCTCGGATAAGCGGATGAAGATGGATGGATGACAAATAAAATACTGAAAAAAGCCAAACAATAACATTTTTAAGTTATCTAAGTGACTTATATATCATGTTTAACCTGAGTAGCGAACGACGGCGGTGGGTTTGAAAACGGTGTTCTCATCGGCTCTAGTGACCCC